CGCCGAGGGGCGAAGGGGGCCCCGCGGCTGGGCTGAGGTAGAACCGCCCGTCGAGGTGCCTCTCCAGGCTCCCGGCCTGCCAGGGAGGGCTGTCCCCCGCAAAAGGGCTCTCTCCCGTGGGGTGCAGGGCTGTTGGTGGCGGTGTTGGTGTAGTGGGGTCGCTGACCAGGCGCAGCTTTTCCCCGGGGCTGCGGCAAAGGAAACCCTGGGAGGTGGGGAACGGGGGAGAGAGCGGCCTTCCCGGCTGTGTCCGGCTGGCCTCGTCCCCGTCCTCTTCCCCCGACCGCTTGAGCGGCAGGAGTCTGCTGTCAGTAGGGCAGGCACCGTTTTTATTGAGGGTCGAGAGGTTCCTCAGCTCTATTCAAAGCTGTCCTACACCCGTGTCTAGGTTCACCGGTTGAGAGGAAAACACGTTACATCCCCCAGTGACTTCCTAGGTCTCACATAGACCGAGAAAGCAGAGGCTGATGAAGAAGAGGAGGTCGATGAAGGAGGAGGATGGCCCTTGGGACCTAGGTCCCAACCAACCATTTGGTGGAACAAAACCTTGGGTGAGAGGATCTGCGGTTCTGTGTTGTCCCTTCCCTCTACGGAAATAAAATCTCACTGCAAACCTGAAAGGATCATTTCGCCCTGGTGATGCAGGGCCTAAAGAGCACATTTTCCTTCCACTTTTAGGCTTTGTTCTGAAGAAATACGGGCTGCTGGGTGAAGATGATAGCTGGACTGACTTCTCCACTGAGACTTATAAACCTCTCTTATGAAGCATTTACATGAAACACTTCCTAATCCACCAATCCTGCCATTCACTAGAATCGGAGAGAGGGATTTTTCTTCTAGGTGAAAGCAGCCAAAGACATTCCACGCATCTGCCATCAACACGTGTATGTGCAATCTCCACAATGGAGGTAACAAGAATAATTTTGTTTTGTGCAGTTCTTAATAACCTATAGTCATTCTTTATTACTTGAGGGTCTTAAGTATTTTACCTAAACTGGTATGAAACTCATCTTTCATAATGGCCTCTGCTAGCGTTCTTCTGGTTAATACTGATAAATACAGTACATTCCTCTCCTAGCTTTCTTCTGGCATTTGGATTTAAACAAAGGAAAACTCAATAAAGCTTACACATTTCACTTGGTTTCACATAACAACCTCAGTTTCATACGTTTCAATATATCTGTCATGGTCTAAGCCCAGCCAGCAACTGAGCCCCACACAGCTGCTTGCTCACTCCCCCCCAGTGGGATGGGGGAGAGAATCAGAAGAGTAAAACTGAGAAAACTCGTGGGTTGAGATAAAGACAGTTTAATAGGTAAAGCAAAAACCACGCACGCGAGCAAAGCAAAACAAGGAATTCATTCAGTACTTCCCATCGGCAGGCAGGCGTTCAGCCATCCCCAGGAAAGCAGGGCTCCATCACGCATAACAGTTACTTGGGAAGACAAACGCCATCACTCCGAATGTCCCCCCCTTCCTTCTTCTTCCCCCAGCTTTATATGCTGAGCATGATGTCATATGGTATGGAATATCCCTTTGGTCAGTTGGGGTCAGCTGTCCCGGCTGGGTCCCCTCCCGACTTTTTGTGCACCCCCAGCCTCCTCGCTGGTGGGGTGGTGTGAGAAGCAGAAAAGACCTTGACTCTGTGTCAGCACTGCTGAGCAATAACGAAAACATCCCTGTGTTATCAACACTGTTTCCGGCACAAAACCAAAACGTAGCCCCACACTAGTTACTGTGAAGAAAATTAACTCTATCGCAGCCAAAACCAGCCCATTCTCTACTCCTTATCCCATACCAGTTACGTCATGCTCAGGTCCTACACTATCCAATACATCCTCATTAACCACCACCCCCCTTCCCATCCTTTGGTATAATACGCAGATATCATTCCTTTAGTCTATGGACCACCCTTGTTGATAAATCATCTAGTATAATGCTTGTTGGTTTGTTATCTAGCTGCTTCTCAGTTACAGTCTCAAATTCCCCATCATGTCATTTAGATTTTATATTCTCTGGGTTCATATATAATTTCTCCAGTCTGCAGCACGTTCCTCATATTCACTACCCAATCTACCTCTCCTTTTAGGTCAGCTCAAATTCTGTCTATACAAAAAGAGGGGAAGAATGTTCAAGAGCAGGTGGAGTTAACTGCAGTAAGATGTAAGAGAGTTTCGTGAGGTTGTGATCTATTTCATGAGGTTGCCATTTTGTGTCTGAAATTTTCAGTAAGGAAATGAAAATCTTCAGATATCTTCTGTTCTACTTAGTAGGTGTTAGCTAAGAAAGCTGTCAAAGGTGAGCAAGTATGCTTCTTTAAACCAGAGCAGATATATTGGCCTGCTTGAAAATCTGCCTTACTTGTGGTCTGGACTCTGTCATTTGGAAAAGTATGTTTTTGAAATAAGAAATTACAATTTTTGTGGAAATAGCACAGGATGTAGTGGGGGGTTCACCTAACATTCTCCAGAGTTCTCATTACTGTGAAATTCTGAGTGTAACAGACTGGAAATAGGTCTGTTGTCAAACCATGAACTCCATGGTGCTTCAGGAATTTATTTTCATTATTAACAGTGATCTTTCTAATGCTCATTATCTCTTTTTTTGTAGATTAGAGCATTCTTATTTGTATTAGACAATCCTAATTAAAAGATACTTGGAAGATGCTACAGAGCCAGGCAATGTTATATGAAAAAAGATTGAATGTGGAAATCCAGAAGAAATTATCTACAGGTAATTAACCAAGTCACAGTAGGATGAGATCAGATGGAATTAATTGAAGTTGGGGACATTTTTTATTTTTCCAAGGATCAGTAGCTCTCAGTTGTGTGGAAAAATTCTTTAGCTACCCAAGTGTACCTTGCTTTTAGATAGTACTGAATTAGGGAACAAATGGGTAATTGTTAGCATAAACTATTGTAGCTAGCAACTCCAGTAGCATAGATGCTGTTGCAAGCATAATAGAATGTTTGGCAGAGACACTGTAACCCTATTGTTAGCAGAAGTTACAAAAATTGGGTAGATAACGGAAACTTGAATGTATACGCTCAGTGACCATCTGGTTGAAACCAGCCTTGCAGTCTGAAGCTCAGCCAACTCAGCATTCTGGGCCAAAGGTGAAGGTACCCGGTGAAGAAGACTGTGAATCTTCCTCCAAAAGCCCCCAATAGACGACCACCAGACGGCAGTACGCATGCGCCAGGAGGAGGGAGCCTCTGATAATAGGTTCTTGGAAATAATTAAAATATCCCGCCTTTTCTTAGAACTAGTTGTACTAACCCAGCCTATGGTAATGAATATGTACACTGCAGAACCATGTAAGGGACAGTTGATGCAACATACAGTGTGCAAGCTAGGAGGAGCTATCCCCCTTGCACCTGGCGCTGTAATAAACATGCCTGCTTTATAACTCTTTTGAGTTGTGAAGTTTGATTCCGCACGTCAGTACTACCTCTTTAACAGTAAAATTTCTGCTACACTTGGAAGGAACTAGGTGCTCAGGTGGCCTTCATGCTGTATGGTCCCACACCTCTGAAAGGGAGTCATGTATAGGGTCTGTACCGTGACAGTACGCCTGAGAGGCAGAGCTATAATAGCAGCCAGCTTTGACATCCACACCACGAGGACCAAAGGATGTGTTTATTCACAGCA